TATTTTCAGAAGAATTTAATTCAACGAGTCTTTAGGTGATTACATCTAAATCTATAGACACATAAAAAATTAACAGTTTCCCCTTGTACAATGATATGTTCAGAGAATATTTTCAGTCAACAAAGTTCTGTATGACAGATACCAAAATATTTCAGCATAACTTCATTCATTCGTTGAAATGAAGAAAATTGGCACTTTTCATAGAACGATCACTTTCCACAGAACCAACACTCTCTACGGAAACAACACTTTCCACAGAACCAACACTCTCTACGGAAACAACACTTTCCACAGAACCAACACTTTCCACAGAAACAACATTTTCCATTGAACCAACACTTTCCACAGAACCAACACTCTCTACAGAAACAACACTTTCCACAGAACCAACACTTTCCACAGAAACAACACTTTCCATAGAAACAACACTTTCCACAGAACCAACACTTTCCACAGAACCAACACTTTCCACAGAAACAACATTTTCCATAGAACCAACACTTTCCACAGAACCAACACTTTCCATAGAACCAACAATTTCCACAGAACCAACACTTTCCACAGAAACAACATTTTCCATAGAACCAACACTCTCTACAGAAACAACACTTTCCACAGAACCAACACTTTCCACAGAAACAACACTTTCCACAGAACCAACACTTTCCACAGAACCAACACTTTCCACAGAACCAACACTTTCCATAGAACCAACAATTTCCACAGAAACAACACTTTCCACAGAAACAACACTTTCCAAAGAACCAACGCTTTCCACAGAAACAACACTTTCCATAGAACCAACGCTTTCCATAGAACCAACACTTTCCACAAAAACAACTCGTAGTGTTAACAGTCAGTTCAGTCGTTCTGTAAGACAAGTGTTCTACTGATTTTTTTTTATACGATATACAAGCATATGTCAATGACCACATAAAACTGTCACATATACAGTTTACTCCCTCAATCTTCTAATACGAAAAGGTTGAAGATGACGTACAGCTTTTTCTAGCTTTTTTTTTTATTTTGAGTCTCGTAAAAAGTTTTGATAATAAAAGCAAAACCACATGTTCTTTACATTAAAAAATGAGTTTTGTTCCAAATCAAGCACCTTTTCATCCACTCTTACTCAAATCTCTTATATTCTTGATTTATGGTGATTTACTTTCAAGTTATCTGTTTTCCTTTACGCCTGTCTTCCATCTTTCTATAGAGAAAGCGTACTATTCCCAATATTACAACTATATATATATATATAACTTTATGTAGGGATTTTACTGTTGCTAAGTTGTAACGTTAAAAGTTTATAGTGCGTACACACCGAACTCATAAAAACATACAGAATGATCAATAGTTGCGTTTAATATTCTAGAAATTTTAATCAAAGGACAAGAAGCTTTCCCAAATATCAGGTAAATCATACTTCAGTTGAACAAGAACATAGAAAGGCTAATTAATGGCAAGAATTAATTCTAGTTTCATCACTTAAGAACTTGCGAACAGTCCTAAACTCTAACGTCATCAAACTCCATCTGATTATTTCAAATTTGTAAAATTATCGTAACAACTTTAAGGTCATTTTCCTGAAGTATTGTTTGTTTGTAATTAAGCACGAAGCTACGCAATGGGCTGTCTGTGCTCTGGCCACTACGAGTATCGAAACCCGGATTCTAGCGTTGTAAGTCCGCAGACATACCGCTGTGCCACTGGGTGGCTTTCGTGAAGTCATTTACTACAACTTATCAGTGTAATCTTTTAATGTGTCATCAAGCTGGATGAACGTGCAAGATATCGGATGTTATTTACTATATTTCTTCGCATAAGGGTCAAGCGAGCTTCAAACGACTGAAGGGAAAAGGGGTGAAATTAGCGATGAAGAATGATAAGAAAGTATTTATCTAACTGTCGTTTTTCAAGAAATTCCAGATCCATAGACCTATAAAAGTAGAATTTTCATGGGCGATGAACAGCGCTAGACTAGTTTCGATAATCGATCTCAATATCATTAGGACGCCATTCTCAACTTTTATTTTATGATATTCTTTGCACTTGAAATTCAACTTATAGCGAATACATCATTGGAATAATTTCCTCATGTATTACGTTATAGTTATAAATTTTAGTGTAAAACGTTACCCCTTAGAAGTTTTGAATAATTTAAAGAGTGTATAGTTGCGGACCTACCAAGGCCCGACGATGTTGCTTATTGGAAAGATCACGTTATTAAATAGTACTGGTGCCCTGAATATTTTGCACAAAATGGGGACAAGTCAAAAGGGTTTACTCGGTGTACTGACCTATGCTATAAATAATTAATTCCAAAATGTTTTATATTATTCCTTTGACTGTAATAACACAAAGTAATAGTTATTACATGATTACAGATATAAGTTGTTGTTGTAAAGCGCAAAGGGCTATCTGTGCTCTGCCAACCACGGGTATCGAAACCCGATTTCTAGCAGTATAAGTCCGCAGACATACCGCTGTGCCACTCGGGGGCTACAGATATGAAACAGCACATATGTAAAGTTTTTTTATTACGTGTAAAAATGTTTTGAAAAGTAGAGATTACTAGCTTGAAATTGCAGCAAATTGCTCGTTTAGGCTGAAAGCGGCTCAATGGGTAGCATGCCGCGACGTGACGCTAAGGTTTCGTGGTTCGCGTCCCATTACCCACACTTTGGATAACGGGGGCGTTGTAAGAGTGAGTGTCAAGTCCCACTATTCTGTCAGACAGCCCCCCAGTGGCACAGCGGTATGTCTGCGGGCTTACAACGCTAGAAACCGGGTTCCGATACCCGTGGTGGGCAGATCACAGATAGCCCATTGTGTAGCTTTGTGCTTAATTCCAAACAAACAATCTGTCAAACAATAATAGCTCAAGATTGGACGGTGAATGGCGTTGACTAACTGCCTTCCCTCTAATTTATTTACTCCAAAACTTGGGATGGCTAGGGCATGAAATTTAGCAAACAAGCATATTAATTTATTTTAGTGCATGATTTTTTCAAAATTCACATATATGTAAGTATATGTGGTTGCAACACAGAATTTCGATCATTAAAATCGCTAGGTTCCTTTCATCCTAGCTACCATAAAAATATTGTATTTCCTATGTTTCTCTCTTCTTCTTTTCAGCAATTACAAATGTATGCCACTCCCTTATTTCTTGGCCGACCATCTTGAAAAATGGTAGGCATATACATTGCTACAATACACCCAGACACTTTTGGGGGGGGGGGGTTAAGCTTCTGTTCCGATTTAAGGGATCAAAGGTGAAACATATCTAAAAATATCTTGTAGCAACACTCATAGATTAAAACAGACATGTTTAAAGCTTGTATCTTCTTATTTTACAAGAGGTCAAAGGCAAATAAATTGCAATGTATGTAAGTGGTATGCATCCCCCTCTCTTGTTTAACGTACGATTTTTCAAACTTTCATATATATATAAGTGTATGTAATTACAACACAGAATGCCGGCAACGAACGTCACTAAGTTCCTTTCACCCTACTACTTACTGTACTGAGTCATACGCTTATGATATCACATGATTTTTTCTCGTGGGAAAGATTTCTGTAAGACTGAACTTATTGTACGGTTGGTCATCGTTCTCTCTCAAGCTCAAGCCCACAGATTTTTAAGTACAGTTATCTGTATATATATTAAAATACTCTCTTAAGGTGTATTTGTTAAAGTTAATTAGTTCTTAATAAGCTTCTTGATAAATTCTTAGGAGATTTCAGAGAGCTAACTATTGAGTAAAGGTGCTACCTTTCGTCTTTTTCGGTTGATACTTTTGATGGATGTATTGAATAAAGATTGTTTCACTATGTTTTACATTTACTCAATCTCTTTCGTTGTTCAAACTCTGCCAAAGTCAGAGAATTCAAATTTGCTCCAAAATACATTTTCTCTCGAACTTTCATTTATTCTGTGGAACTCACCTGATTACATTTAGAGGATATCAGTGCATCTGAGAATACCACATGTAACAAGGAGCTCTGAAGGTCCTATTGGCCCAACATTTACCTGTAAAATATTGTAATTGTAAATATATCGATAACTTCTATCTTATGTATTATCAGGTCAGGTCCTAATTTAATGTGCTCCAATATGTCTTTCCGACAAAGTAGTATCAAGTTGATACTGTGTTAAGTTCTACCCTTCTGAAGTATATGTGCTGGACTTTATGTTTCCATTCTCTGCTTTGAATACCATTCTCCCTTGTAATTTACTGTATTCTGTGGATTTTATTGAATAAGGTGGATGGTAGAGAACGGGTTACATATTACATTCGCTTGTTATTGTTGGCCGTTTTAGTTTATTATTCAACATTTTAAATGGTTTATATTCTTCTGACAATTAAAGTAAATAAAGACGGTAAAACATACACCAGTTGTATCAACATTTTTGTTATTTAATGTTATAATTACTTAGAAAGTTAAAACCGAATTGTTTAAAGATACTGTAAGAGACTGAAGAACAGTCATGTGATATTATTGGTGGGTTATGCTAACTAGCTTCCTTCTCTCAAGTCTGTCAGTACAAAATTAGGGAGGACTAGGTAGTGCTCCTGTAGCTGGGCGCGAAAATTCTAAACTAACGTCTCGCCGTGACATGAAATAACTGGGCGGTATTACAAAAATGAATGTTATTGTATTCTAGCCAGCATCTGCTAAACGCCGTTTTGTTGTCACAATCTGTGCTACTTTCAAGAAAATAAATTGTTTATTCTAATGATTTTCAGATATCTAGTTAATTTAGTAAATATGTTTTAGACCATGAAAGTGTTTTATTTTCCTTCGAAAGCAGATGGTAATTATTAGTCTAACAGGGGCCAACTTTTATATGTAAACGTGCAAAGAATATACTCGTAAAATTCATTCATTATCGAAGCTGGATAGGCTGACCTCCCACGCGGTGGCGCTCCGTATCTAGGATGCTAACGATGATTTAAAACAAGAACCACCGGATCCACTGGCGGGCTGCGGTACGCTGATCTTCCAGTTGGCGCTTTGCACTGTTGTTACTGCACAGAGCAAACATTAGAGTTGTCATACTGAGATGAGCAGAAAGCACTCAGTGTATTTGGCCACTTCTCCGGATAACCAGAAGGAGACTGACGCGCGAATTTCTGTCTGTCTCTTCTCATATCCTTTATAATAACTAGCTTCTCAGTTCAGTTGTGTCTCACAAACTACAATTTATTTTCTCTATTTCAAGGGGCTGCTGGAAATCTTTCTGAAAGGTAAGGATGACTGACGTGTTTGTGATAATGTGACAAAAAACATTATAGTCTATCAAACGTGTTTTCTATATGACAAATGTATTAATTTCTTAAAATATATCAGTGAGGTTGTATTAAAATTCGAGTAATTAAAAGCATATCTATCAAACTGAATACTGTTTCAACTTAGAAAAAAACTTTGGTAAGAAGTAAGAGTAAACACATATTTGTGTGTGTGTGTAGATCAATGCTTATAAAATTAAGAGTTATACACAGCTAACAACATCAGGTTTAAATCCACTACGTATTTTTATTCTAAGAATGAACCTGAGTAAAACTAAATGCACTTTTAACAACACATATGTAAATTAGTTACTCTTTTTTTTATATAACTTGCCACGGAACAGTTAAATAGTCGTACTTTCTTCATGAGTAATTGTAAGAAAATACACGAACAGAGACGGGTTATCGTTTCTGGTCAAATGCTTCCAAGTGAATATGAAGTCTTAGGTAGATAAATTATTTTATAAACTAAAAAATTCTAGGTTATGATTTATATATCAACTTACATTACCTGTAAACTAATGAAGTATGTCTCTTCATCTTGGAAGGTCAGGTCTCTTCTTCACTCCGGAACTGATGTTGTGATCCGTTTAAGTAGCATCGTTAAATAAATGCTGAACATTTAATTAGTGAGAGTTCTGTATTTATGCAAAGTTCCGATCATAATTACATTACCCTATCAGAGCCATGTCCACTGGCACACAATGTAGAATGTAGACAGTCTTACATTACCCAAATAGTTACATATATTCCAATGTTTGTTCATTCGGTGATATATTTAATATGTACTTAACATTAATACCCTAGTAATACATAGTGAATACACCACACAGATGATATGGTTAAGTACGTCTAGCAGTAGGTGGCTGGTTGCTATACTTATAGTACCTATTTATAGGGGAGAGGAACTTAGGCTCATTTCAATCGTGTACGATATGGCGATCTAGTGAACGTACTGGTTCGTTGTTGTTTAAGTTTAACTGGAAGTAGATGACCGATCTATTCAGGAGTCTGTCGTAGAGCGGCTGTATGTCCACATAATTGTGTAGGAAAACTGAACTTGTTGTGAGTGGAACTTTATATGCTGTAGTGAGGACTGAGTTTTGTATAGTTTGTAATTTCTGTTTAATTATGTGTGGTGTAACGTTAATCGAAGCCGGGCAGGCATGTTCGATTACCGGCCGTATGCATTGTTTGTAGATTTTTAATATGTTTCTTGGTGAGATGCCTGTGTTATTTCCAGATAAATTACTGATGTAGTTTACCCGCTTCCAGATTTTGCGTTTTAGTTCGCTTACATGTGTTTTCCGGATTATTTTCCAGTCGTAAGTAAGGCTTAAAATTTTTGCTGATGTAGCAGTCTGGATAAGGATTACATGTAGGTAAATCTCGGGTTTCTTTTTACGAGCTTTATTGTATTTTGGGAACATAAGAACCTGTGTTTTTGGTACGTAAATTTTTATTAATTTATTTTGGCAGTATTCGGCTACATCATTAATCATGGGTTCTAAATTTGTGGCTGCTCTGGAAAGAGCTGGAAAACTCTTCCAAACTACTACATCATCCGCGAACTGCGAACCAAAACAAAAATGTGTGCCCCCAGTGGCACAGCGGTATGTCTGTGGACTTACAACGCTAGAATCCTGGTTTCGATACCCGTGGTGGGCAGATAGCCCATTGTGTAGCTTTGTGCTTAATTACAAACAAAACAAAACAAACAAACAGAAATTTGTATCAGTTAGTGGCATATCCCTTACAAACTGATAAAGAGTGTGGGGCTTATACCGCCTCCCTAAGGAACACCCGCCTTGGGAGTAAAATACTCTGGGTAGGCGCCCTCTACATTTACCCGATATTTTCTATTATCTAAAAAGTTGGACAACCAGTGAATAATTCGCCGTGGTAGTTCCATCTGTAACATCCGGGACCTCAGACCAGGGAACAAAATTGTATCGAAAGCTTCCCGTTTTTACAGGTTGAGTGAGCAGATGACCGAGCACTCTTTTTTATTATTTTATAAAAGCTATCTATTACGGTTCCAGTTAATCTAACCATATGATTAGTGGTTTGCCGACTTTTTTTGAAACCGTTCTTTACTTCGAGTAATTTTGAAATTTTCTCCCTAACATCAGGGTACATCTCCGTCCCTCGGGAACAAGCGAATGTTCTCATGTTATTAAAGGAGGGGGAAACAAACCGCAGAGCTACTGACCAATCAGCCTGACCATTCTAGAAAGAGTAATAAATACTACATTAAGTACATAGTTGGTCACATAATACACAAAACCTGCCCCACACTAGTGTACAACAACAAAACCACCTACACAAATATACGTAAAGCTGAAGTATTTAAAGAACACTTACAATACATATTCAAAACACATAATGATCCTGATATGGACAACTATCACCTAAGTTATGTTTAAAACACATAATGACCCTGATATGGACAACTATTACCTAAATTATGTTAACAACTTTACTGAACAAAATAAAACAATATCCATACTTATTTTTATGTACACACACAGGACACCCATGTTACTTGTGAAATAACCTCAACACAGGTTTCAATAGCAATAAAACAAAGCACCTGGTGAAGATGGCATACAAGCCTTCTTACTTAAATAAGATACCCAGCTATTGCTTGAACAACTCATGGCACTATTTAATCTCTCCCTAACAACAGGGTACATCTCCATGGCACTATTTAATCTCTCCCTAACAACAGGGTACATCTCCATGGCACTATTTAATCTCTCCCTAACAACAGGGTACATCTCCATGGCACTATTTAATCTCTTTATGTGTGTATCTTTACAGAAGTATTGGGTCATCCTGTTCATATAGTTTAGTCAGAACGAGTCCTAGTTTTCTTTTTAATTTGATTTTTTATTTTATTTCTGAGTGCGTTGATCTGATATGTCTATGTTACACCAAATCAGTATTTAAACCTGACATCGGATGTCATTATACTCACATGTTTGTTGCATTTGATAACTCAGTGTTGAGCTTTTAAAAAATGGGCTCGGTGTGGCGTGTTCTAATTCGTGCGATACCACAGAATATTTCATCCACTTTAACCTTTGGATGCATTATAAGAGTGTTTGTTTGTTTGTTTATTTGAAGTTATACCCAAAGCTACACAATGGGCTATCTGTGCTTTACCCACCACGGGTATCGAAACCCGGTTTCTAGCGTTGTAAGTCCGCAGACATACCGCTGTGCCTGCCTTATAAGAGTGACAGTGAGAATATCCATCGCTTAGTGTGAATGGTGTGTGGTAGGAGGCTGCTGACTTGTTGCCTTCCCTCTGGTCAGTAGTTCAAAAGTAAGGACGGCAGCAGAAAGGCATAGTAGTAGTTTTGCCATAAATACAAATACAGACAGTGAACATAAAGCAGAATATATCTGTAAATGTGTGCTTGGGAAAGGTTAATGATGTAGGCGGTTCTTTGCAAAGCAGGCGTTTATCGTCGAATAAAGAGACTAATGTGTTTACAAGATAACTGTTTGATAAGGTGGCAACAAGCCTAGTACTGCTTACAGCCCTTTGAAGGGCGGTTTGGTTAGTTTTTTAAAGCTTTAACTATGCAGTACGATGATTGGCTTGCTGATCATTGCTCCATTCTTTCACTTCCGGATATGCCTCCCATTGTAACTTTCTTTTATAATTTCTTAAGTTCTAGATTGGGCGATGTTGTTGAACTTGGCTGTTAAAGTTGTTTCGACAAGAACCATGAGTTCTTCAGGAGGTTGATATATTTCTAGCAAAGTCTTCTCTAAAGCTATTCAGTTAGCCATTATTCCATCGACGTGCTTCCAAAGATGGTCACAGTGGATGACATTTGGCTTAGACTCCCATCTTTTTGGGATACTGCTCTTTTATAACTCTAATTATTTGTATTCATGATCAGGTGCTTCCAGCCTTGTTTATACTGGAAGTTCAACCATTGGTGTTATAACTTTCGTATACTGCCCAGAGTTTTCTTGGTCGTAGACTTTGAAGCTATATGAAGAAAGTCTAACCTGACACCTGACTATCTGCTAGAAGTCAATTATCAGTATGCATTTTTCATCAATTTCAAGTATCCACACATCATGTTCTGCAAAGAAGCTTCCCACCGTGAGATTGACTCCCATCATTTCTCTTTTTAGGACTTTATAACCACTTGCTGTTCACATCAATCTATCTTCCTGCTCCAACTCTATAGGTAGTTCCAGCTTTCATTAGAATAAGGTCAAATAATGGTAGTCATAGCACCAGTGTCAATCAGCAATGAACGTGTTGCAAGGCTTCTCATCATTGAACCCCATTTACCCATGGACTGTTTCTTTAAGTAATGCATTCCTTATCTTAATTGAGGCAGATGGAGTATTCTCATCCACAGGATACCATTTCCTTGGTTTATTACCAATGGTTAATCCATCCACAGGATACCATTTCCTTGGTTTATTACCAATGGTTAATCCATCCACAGGATACCATTTCCTTGGTTTATTACCAATGGTTAATCCATCCACAAGATACCATTTCCTTGGTTTATTACCAATGGTTAATCCATCCACAGGATACCATTTCCTTGGTTTATTATCAATGGTTGATTCACCTCGAACTCGGATGTCGTATTAATTTTTTCTATACTTATAGCAGTTTCCTCTTCCTGTCATCCTTTGGAAGCAGTTTCCGTTTCTTAAAGACGTTTTGTTGCACTCATGGCAATATGTCATTTGAACTTAAATAAAACCTTACAATTGAAACATCTTCTCTCGTGTGATTTACTTCCTCCATCCTGACTAAACAGTTGTTTAATTAAACACTCTTGTCTGCAGTTCCTGCTAATGGGTCAGTTTAATTTGCATTTGAAACACATATTGTTCTGTGGTTTACTTTATATGCCTCACTTTAAATAATGAGTTGTCTACTTAAACTTGTGAGTTCTTCTATTTTCCATCAG